CATTTTTAATTTTTTTGGCTTTTCAAGTCTCTTCTGCTGTGTTTTTCAGTGTTTTTATGAGTGATGGTCACTCGTTGGCCTGACAGGTGTATTGTGTCTAAATTTGGTGTCAATTTGTCCAGTGGTTTTTGAGTTATGTCAATCCCAGAAACTAACATTACATTTTTATTTATATTGATTTATTTACCCTCCTCTGACAGATATATCAAATTCCACAACAAACTACAAATGCTAGGATTCGATAGGATGGAGACATGGCAGTTAAAGTCATGTCAAACTATTATAATTCTGCACTTTGGATGAGTTGTCAGGCAATAGATAATAGGGGGTAAAAACAGAAATATGATGACGGAGGACAGGGCTGTATGTGCCATGTTACCAGACTACTACCCTCAAACAGAGCTTGGAAGTTATTCTTTAAAAATAGCTAATTTCTTAATCCTTTTCTGGGTTGTTGTAGGTTTTTTTCGGGCTATATGGCCATGTTCTAGAGGCATTCTCTCCTGACGTTTCACCTGCATCTATGGCAAACATCCTCAGAGGTAGTGAGGTCTGTTGGAACTAGGAAAATGGGTTTATATATCTGTGGAAAGACCAGGGTGGGACAAAGAACTCTGACAACCTTGTCTGCTGGAGCTAGGTGTGAATGTTTCAACTGACAACCTTGATTAGCACTTGATGGTCTGGCAGTGCCTGGAGCAATCTTTTGTTGAGAGGTGATTAGATGTCCCTGATTGTTTTCCCTCTGCTGGTTTGCTGTTTTAATTTTAGAGTTTTTAAATATTGGTAGACAGATTTTGTTCATTTTCATGGTTTCCTCCTTTCTGTTGAAATTGTCCACATGCTTGTGGATTTCAATGGCTTCTCTGACATGGTGGTTGTTAGTGGTCCAGCATTTCTGTGTTCTCAAATAATATGCTGTGTCCAGGTTGGTTCATCAGGTGCTCTGCTATGGCTGACTTCTTTGGTTGAAGTAGTCTGCAGTGCCTTTCATGTTCCTTGATTCGTGTTTGGGCACTGCATTTGGTGGTCCCTATGTAGACTTGTCCACAGCTGCATGGTATACGGTAGACTCCTGCAAAAGCGAGAGGATCCCTCTTGTTCTTTGCTGAACGTAGCATTTGTTGGATTTTTCTTGGTGGGTCTGTAGATAGTTTGTATGTTGTGTTTCCTCATCAGCTTCCCTATGCGGTCAGTGGTTCCCTTGATGTATGGCAAGAACACTTTTCCTCTGGGTGGATATTCATCTTTACTCTCGTGGCTTGTTCTCGGTCTTGCAGCTCTTCTGATGTCTGAGGTGGAGTATCCATTGGCCTGTAGAGCTCAGTTTAGGTGGTTCAGTTCATCTGGGAGGAGGTAGGGTTCGCATATTCTTTTTGCACAGTCTGCCAAGGCTTTCATGGTGCTTCTTTTTTTGACTTTGGTGATGGTTACATTGTTTCTGTCCATTGCTTCTCCTGCTGTCCTCATAGGAGTGTGTAACCCCATGTCATTCTGGTGGCTGTAGCTTTGAAAATTGCAGTAGACAATAAGGAATAGGGTGGAAGAGCAAGGAAAGGAAACTGACCAACTGCCTTTTGAGAAACACTTTTGTTCCTTGATGGGAAAAGTGTAAGCTGTGGCCCAAAATAGTACTGAATTGATCAGTGCACATTGTAAAGTTCATACACACCCACTGTTGTATATTTGACAATTCCAAACAGAAGCAGGTGGAATTCCAGAACTGATACACTTAATCAGTGGCATGAGGTTCCATCACCTGTTTCGACAATAGTGGATGGCATCATGACCCACTACTCCTTGGGCAGGATTGATGAACTTCAATGCCTAGTGGTACTTGACCACTCAGAGGTCATTGGGCTGAATATATCCCCTACACATCCTGCAGTAGGAGGACAGCAAGTTCATGGGCTATTTGCTGCCCACTGCGCCTTCTGGAAAACCAATTAAACATGCTGAAAAATAAACATAACCCATACAAGGTCCGTTTTCTATACAAGATGAATCCATGAAAAGTTGTGCCTCTTTGGGAGAATGAGAACCTTCTTCTGGCACTTTGTCCACACCCTTGCTTCAAAATAGATTGGTTGTAAATAAATTAGGATGACTAGATGAATAAGGTCAGATTTTTAAAAAAATCAAAGGAGGACTTCAGATGATTGATCAGACCAGAGTGAGTGTGGATGTATGTAATTCAGCACCCTCTTTCTTCTCAAGAGCCACCCAACCAGATGAGTTAAAACAGCTTCTCACCAAAGCTTATGGATACTAGGCACTAAATCATAGTGCTTTGATAGGCTGCATACTGTATACATTGTTCAAAAGCATTTACAATAGTTTTATACTTATTTTAGTTCTTTAAAACGTTGAATTGTTTTCAATATCTTTGATATGGGCATATAAATCCATTCATTCATAAATATAGTAGATCTGTGCAGGCATTCCCTAGGCTGGCTAGAGCTGGTGGGAGTTGATGTCGAACAATATTTAGAAAATCACACTTCGCCCACTTCTGCTTTAGATCAGCTTGAGCTGCCCATGGTGATAAATGCGGCAACACGGATAATAGGGCATGACATACTCAGCATTGCCGTGTGCTTTTCACCTTCCCATGTAGTATATGGCTCACTGATCTGATACACTCATCCTGCTCCTATGTTGACTGTCACCCATATCATAAACAAAGTGGTATTTCCGGATGACCATTTATTGTGTAAAGTCCTGGACCTTACATTTAAATCTGTTCCAAGTCCTCTAGGTATGTGTTGTCTCTGTGGCCAAGTGGGTGCTTCGCTATCCTCAGCAGTTAATAATCTCTGAAAATAGATTTAAGTTGTCATGGGGAGGAGTTCAGTTAGAACTGTTAAAGCTGCCTTTTGGATAAGTTAAAAAACCTTGTGTAATGCTATCAGACATAGAGTGAAGGGAAAATATATAAGCTACATAAAATGCAACTATATTTTGACCATGAAAATATGTATCCCCCATTTACACTGTAACTTGGCAGCTGTGCTCTGCCAATCAATTGCTTGGAAAATTACTAAACCCAGCCATTATTTCAGCTGAATTGTGATGTACAAGATTTCTCCTTGTATAGATTTTTGGACAATGATAAGACCTGAATGTTGTATACAGGTCTTAAATGAGATGACAAAGGAATTATAAAGGAAATCACATGTCAGATAAGAATGGGCTTTGAGGTGGGAGGAAGTGAAGTTATACCTGAGAATATTTGTCTATTCACATGAAATCAGTAGATCCTACAAAGAAGTTCACATGAATCAATAGATCATGCAAAGAAGTAAAACTCCAGAGGACCCTTGAAATTAGCATTTCCCACCTCTCCTGCCTGCTGTAGTCACACATTTCCACATGCAACTATAGCTGCATTTTTCAATTTCCAACAACCTCCACCATAATTCTTCAGTTTCATCACCTCCAATGGAAAATGAGCTTATTAATCATCTCCCAGGCTCCCTGGTAGTGAAGCAGGTTAAACCGCTGAGCTGCTGAACTTGCTGATGAAAAGGTTGGCAGTTCAAATCTGGGGAGCAGGGTGAGCTCCTGCTGTTAGGCCCAGCTTCTGCCAACCTAGAAGTTCAAAAACATGCAAGTATGAGTAGATCAATAGGTACTGTTTCTGTGGGAAGGTAACGGAGTTCTATGCAGATATGCTGGCAAAATGACTTTGGAGGTGTCTACGAACAACACCGGCTCTTTGACTTAGAAATTGAGATAAGCACCACCCCCCAGAGTCAGACATGACTAGACTTGATGTCAGGGGAAACCTTTACCTTTACTAATCTTTTCCCAAAGCTTCCTACCATGCCCCTCAGGAAAGGATGGATAGTAAAGCAGCCATTATTCTATCAATAAACATGGAAAGGTTTTGTAAAATAATTATAAGAATCTTCTCCATCTTAGTTTGAAATGGTGTAACTTTCAAAAGATGATCCAATGTTTGAGATATGACTGGACCAATTATGAATTGATTTATTATGTTTTGAATATTTGATTACTGTTAAAAGGAATCAAAGCATTATTCAAATATATGTGGCAAACACATTGGCAGAAACATTACATGTCATTCAAAGGTGAGGTTTGGAATAAGTCGTGTTATCTTCTCTGCTGTGATGCATGATTAATAAAAAATAGGTACAATATTTTTTTAAATATATGTACCATTACACCAAAGTAAGGGGCCACAGTGGTACAGCGGGTTAAGCCACTAAGCTGCAGAAATTGCTGGCCAAAAGGTCGGTGGTTTGAATCCACCGGACAGGGTGAGCTCCCAATGTTAGCTCCAGCTTCTGCCAACCTATCAGTTCAAAAACATGCAAATGTGAGTAGATCAATAGGTACCAGCATTCCATGCAGTCATGCTGGCCATGATCTAGGAGGTGTCTATGAACAACGCAGGCTCTTCAGCTTGGAAATGGAGATGAGCACCACCCCCCAGAGTTGGACTCAACTAGACTTAATGTTGATGGAAAACCTTTAGATCAAATAATGGAATCATTTTTTAAAATTTCATGATGATGCAGCTAATAAGTATGCTTTTATTTCCAATAGTTCTAGAAGAAATACAAATAGTTTTGTTTCAAATTTCAACATTTTAAGGAAGTCTATTGCTTCTCTTCTACATGAGCTCTGTGATCCCAGTGTGTATATAAATATACAATCAGGAAAGTTAACATTTGTAGATTTTTTAATATACACAAATTTAAGAATAGTGGTCTCTTTTAAAGCCGTAGAGTTTTCATCTCATTTCTTGGATGGTATAAATTTACCAAGCCTGGGCAAAAAGCAGCAAAGCTAGTTCTTAGCTGTGATAGCAGCAGCAGCTATCATTTCATTTACTTGCAGCCGGTTCGAGTTGGCAATGTCACCCCAAGCTGATTGGAGCCGCAGACATTTTTGCTGACTGGAGTCAGGCTATCTTTTCCAACTCGCTGGAATAGACACAGACACCGATTGGGTCATGCTCGAAACATTCCAGTCCTATGAAGCAAGTCTGTTTGTATTTTAGGTTTGGCAGGACTAATGAATTAAAAATCTTGGACTCTTGTCCGTTTGCTGCTTTAATAATGCCTCTGATGGATGGGTTTTTTGCCCCACGAAGCATGACAATACCATAATCCCTCATTGTTGGAAGGGACGGGACGGGATGGGGATGGTGGAATTGTGAAGGAAAACGGAAAAGGGTGGTCCCGAGGGACTGAAAAGCCTATGGGAAGTGCAGGTAGCAGCATGTTGCCCCGACAGCTGTTCCAACTTCTCAGACCTTGTCAGCTTGCTGCTATGTAGCAGGTGCAGCCTTTTCTTTTATTGAATCTGTACTCCATAAAGGCAAGAACAAGCCAAGGCAGTGGCTGGCCCTGGATTATACAAGTGCAGACACTACTAAGTGAGGTAAGGCAACAGGTGTGAAAACTGAACTAACTGATTGAGTTGTAACCACACTTAACTTGAGTTCTCTTGAAGATTTTTTTATATATAAGGCAAGAACAGCCTGTTTCGCAGCCAATCTGTTGAAAACGATGTTTGGGGGAAAACATTTTACACATCTTATTAAAGTCCAAGCTACCAGATTTAATCAAAAGGCAAGGCAAAGCAAGATACTTGGGGGAAATGGTCTCTTTGAACTATAAAGTATACAATATTTTTATATTTGCTTTGTCTGGTGTAGCTTTCTTTTTATGGAAGATTTTTAGGATTCTGTGGACACATATTTGGTGAAAACTAAATCTGTGTTTTGTGTATAAGAAAGGTGGCTATTTCACAGGAAGCTCAAGGAATATTTTAAAGAAAACTTTACATGGATGGAGTCATTGTTTGGAAAATTTTAAAAAAACCTCTCCTAAAGGTGCATTTTGGATGTCTATATTTTTATCATTTAGGATTTTGATCACTTATTAATACACTTTTTCTGTTTGGTGGAATAGTGAGATTGGAATCAACACAACTGAAATGAAATTGAGTCTGGATTTTGATATTTAAAATGGTGTGCTTTCCCTTATGGCTATATATATTCAAAGGAATAGTGCACCTGCAGCATTTCAAATGCTCATTTTTTAAAAAAAGAGTACAAAGCTGACTTACTGTAATACACAGAGTATATTTATCCCAAGGGCTTCTAAAATCCAAGAAGATTTGAAGAAGTGGGATGTTGTGTGATTTCTGGGCTGTATGGCCATGTTCTAGCAGCATTTTCTCCTGATGCTTTGCCTGAATCTGTGGCTGGCATATTCAGATGATTTTAAGAAGTTGTGATGGAGGCTCCTTCTTTGGAGGCTTTGAAACAGAGACCATATGTCAGGGGTACTTTGAATGCAGTTTTCCTGCTTCTTGGCAAGGGGCTGGACCGGATGACCCAGGAGGTCTCTTCCAACTCTATAATTCTAAGTATTTTCTTCTTATATTCAACTTAACAGACTGATAATTAAATTGAAGAGTTTGGATTCAAGGCTGGACAAAAAGAAACGTAACTGAATACCCAAATATTTATATGTTAGCTTAAGCAAGTTGTGGTTCCACCTATAGAAGAATGCAGCAAGGTTCCTTCAAAATCAATATTATTTGATCCTGTATGTGTTCAGCTAGAATTGAGGAATTTCTGTTTTACATTTTCCAAGACAGGAAAGAAATGGGACATTACTGTAAAGTTTTTTTTAAAACAAAGCTTTAATTGCTCAGAATTTGTGCTGGTAGAAGCAGAAAGCTCAATTCACTGATAATTATTCATGGAAAGAATTGCATTTTATATAGTTTGAATGAATTATTTTGAGGTTACTCACAAAATGTTCAATGTGTTAGTTTCCTGGAGCTTGCAGACTGCATTCGTGTACCATCCTGAAATGAATGACAACACCCCTCGCCAAAGTATGTTTTAATGCATTCACAGCCAGAATCGAGTTTCACAGGAGAGGCTTGTTAGAGAAATGCTGAGAGAACAAGGTACATTAGAATATAAATTTGGAATCCTGGCCAGATTCATAGATATTACCACAAGTTAAAATGTTAAATATTGGGGGGGGGGGGGGTAATGTATGCTGTAGTGAGGAGCTTAATGTCACCTAGTTCTCTCAAGCCAGGTCCTTCAAAAGAGATAGATGCACACAGGGTTTCTGTGTCCAGATCTTAAGAAAGCTCTAGTAATTTTTACGGCTGAATAAAAGAAAGGAAACTTTTCCACGTATAGTGTTGCTTGTCACTGTACCACAATTGTATACTTCATTTTGAGAATGATTTTTCTGTCTCGGGTGAATGCTTCGAAATTGTTGTCTCAGTCAAGATCTAGACTTGCCAGACAAACACATTTGCATCCCAATGATTGCACCTTTATTGAGAACTCAGAAAAAATCCATGACATCAAGTATACAACTGCATCTTCCAATTCCATTGAGCAATACTTACAATGCAAGTCTATGGGCACTTCCAAATAGGTGACTTCTAGAGTTGCACTCAAGCTGTACCAAGTGGCTGTTCACTTTTTGCTCCTTAATAAGAGTTCTAGGGAGGAATGGCAGAAGAAGTGGTGAAAAAATGTAGGAGTATTATTGGTAGAATGGATTTGCATCTGGACCCATTGTGAAATTCTGTGAAAACTTGCTAATTGACAATCACATTGGGGAGCACCTGCAATATCATGTTAATATGACTGTCTACCAATAGTACTGGCACTAGTACAACCATCTTTTTCCTGTAATTTTACCAATAAATAATGCAGTAATGGAGAACTGGGATTTCAAAGTGATGCACTACTTTCCCCCCTCTCCATTAGCCAATTTCACCTGCTGAGGCTGGAGAAGTGCCTTTACTTTTGCTATGTTATCTCCTATAAAATATGACCTCTCTAGGTGTTTTCTAGGTTCTTGAGCATGTTCTTGGCTGGATGTCCTTCATCTCAATACAGTTTCACTATTATCTCCAGTTTGGGAACTGGAGATAATCCCAGTACTGGGAACATATCCCAGTGGATAACAGGAATTCATATTGTACTTCCTTTCCTGCCCATCCTTGTATATCACACCGTCATATCTCAAACCTTGCTTTACTGTGTCTTGAGACTGTATAACAGTGGTTCCCAACCTGTGGACCTCTGGGTGTTTGGACTTCAATTCCCAAAAATCCCAGCCAGCTTACCAGCTGTTAGGAACTGTGGGAGCTGAAGTCCAAAACACCTGGAGGGCCAAAGGTTGGGAACCACTGCTATAGAAGCAGTACTGCCTTTTCTTCTCTGCCTGCTTTAGATGTGATGCTTTACAAAGAACCAGTAAGGCGCTTAGCATTTGAGGGCCACATGACTTCCTGTAAAACAGTGGCAGGTGCTTTTTGTAGCCACAATTGCTTTACACAACACCAGTGAACAGGGAGGGGTAGGGAGGTAAGGTTTGTAGTGGGTTCACAGCAGACAGGGAAGGAGGCAGCCAGCAAGAAAGGCCCTTCTACGGAAAGAAGGATTTACTAATTCTGGACAGCCAACATTTGAGGCAGCTGTCTCACACATGCTGATGAACTGGCTGGCTCTATGACCAGCCAAATAGCATGCTGCATACAGTGCAGGTCAATGGCAGGACAAGAACCCTGTATCCACAGGACTGGTGCACTTTCATTCATCCACTTCCAACAAATTATGTATTGCATTTGTGTGCTGCTTTTGTGTGCAGAGATCAGTCAGCCCCAACATGCCAACTTACTGAAAAACATTTTCAAATAAACTGTAATATCTGGCTTCAGTATTCTTGTAGTGGGTTTATTTTTATGCCACACTGAGGTGTTGTGCATGGGTGATATGTGCCAGCCAACAAATCAGACCAATGGTGCAGCTACATTGTAGAACTGATCTTGCACAAACAGTACTTTGAGATTCCCATAGTTCCTTAGATGCTTGCCATAGATGCAGGCGAAACGTCAGGAGAAAAATTGCCTCCAGAACATGGCCATATAGCCCGGAAAAACCTACAACAACCCACAGTTCCTTAGATGTTTCAATGTGGACACTGAAAACCAGTATCTATTTAATTTTGCTTTGATTCCCCTCTTATTCAAGCTAAACATAATTAAAACAACCTTATTTTCTTAGCTGTGTCTATTTTATTGAACCAACAGTTTATTTAACAAGACTGCACTTTTATGTATATTTACTGATGAGCAAATCCCACTGAACTTAATGGAAATTGTATGTGACTGAGTATGTATAGGATAGCCCTATAATGCTTAGAAATTATTTTGGTCCTCCGTTTGCTTTTGACTATAACTCTAACAGTCCACTAGCATTGGCCTCACTGATGGGGGTTCTGGAAGTCCCAAACATCTGGAAATATTAAGTTTCCCCATCTCCATTGGAAGAAAAGCTGAGAACATGTGGTTAAAAGCAAGGGGACCATTGAATTTGGGGAGAGACATTACTGACATGCAGTTTTCAAATGAAAAATGCAGATTAGTTGAGAAAACTTACCTCTGAAAGATTATAGCAAGGAATGCATGTGCAAATGATTATACTCATTGTCTTTCCTGAAAATGGCAGAAAATTATATAAAAACGTAATGTCAAACAACATTTAATCATATTTCATAAGTTTCTAATAATCTCTAAAATATGTTTATTTTGCAGCTGGAAGACACAAGTAAACGCATAGGCCCAGGTGACCACATGATCACCACAGCAAGGATAGCTGCTGATAAAGCGATACGAATTGCCTTCAGTCTAAATGACTCTCCAGGTAATACTCATTGTCAACAATTATTTGTCCTGTTTATTCTTCTTTGCCTTGGGATGGTATAGAAGTTTGTTCAGCTCACATTTTAATACTAACCTAAGTACTTTGCATTTCTGAAATCAATATATGAAATAAACACAGTCACACTTCAATGTTCACAATTATATGAATTGTGCTGTGGAGTTATCAAGTCAAACAATGCACACGAAAATATGTACATTAGTGGGAATGATGCACAAAATGCTTTATATTGAGAGATAGAACACAATGGGTGGGCCAAATGCACAAGATAAAATAATAAAACCCTGGATGAGATAGCAGTGGAAAAGTGTATTTGTGAGGGAGGAGCTCATAAGGGACGAAACAGTGGAGTTAGGCCTTCAATAAGGATGGGGGGAAAGTGCATCACGAGGACGACTCTGTAGGTGGAACAAACAGAAATGGGATATATGGTTACTCTCCAAAGGCACATCGGGAGAGCCAAGTTTTTAGATCTTTCTTAAAGGGTGCTAGGGTGGGGGCTTGCCTAATCTCACCAGGTAGTGAGTTCCAGAGCTGAGGGGCCAAATGAAACTGGTTGATTCAGTAAGGTGATTAGCTTATGCCTCACTACAGCAAGGTAAATTTTCATCTTGCCATATGGCTGAAACCTTTATTGAAAACAAATCTCCTTTGACCCAACCATACTGAAGAACTTATCAGCCAGGCTTCAATATTGTAGATTTAGGCAAGGTTCTTAAACTTCTGGTGACCTCCTGGCTACAGATGAGACAGATTATTTAGATCCATTTCAGTCTAGCTTTAGGATATAATATGAGACAGAGCAGAGGTACTTTTGGTCACCTTGAGCTTTACAGATGATCTTCGCACGGAACTAAACCAAGAAGTGTATCCCTGTTGATTCTGCGGGACCTCTAAGCTGGTTGGTTCTGCTGGACCTTTCTGTATATTTTACCAAGGTATCCTTCTAGGTCATTTCTTTGGATGAGGCTTGGATACCAACCACTTGTATTTCTGATTGATGGCTGAAGTGCAGAAACATTCATGGCAAGATTACATATGATGCAATGTATGGAAGTATATTTAGAGTTCTCAACTAGAGAGCTCTACCAAACTACAAATCACAGAGATTCCATAAGATGCATCCTTCATAGCTATCTAATATGGATTCCTTTAGACTCCTTTGTGTTAAAGTGCACATACCTAGATGCTTGCCTGAAAAACTAGTGTCAGTAGCTGTCAGTTGAAGCAGATACGATGAATCTAGACCAAGAGTGGGCTACTCTGAAGACGAGGGTGTCACACTAGCCCTCAAGGAGAACTTGGAAGGCCATATTTGCTTCTAATAAATCAATCAATAAATTGTGTATTTGCCCTTCTATTTTATGGAGAATGTTTTGGAGCCTTCCTGGCCCCCTAGAGAACATTTTGGAACATTTCAAGACTTTTTAATTTTTGGAAAAATTCATTTTGACCCCAGGGATGTCCACTGGACTCCACCAACTCCCTGAATATAATTTCTTTGCAATATGAAGCAAAAAGGTATTCTTGATCCCTGAAGGTCCTAATGAGACACGCAGAACTGCCCTTGAAGACAGGCTTTGCCACCCCTCATGTAAATGGATAATCTAACTAGGTAGAAGGCAACTTTCAGATTTTCTTGCAGACCTAGAGAGAGATATGTCATTTTCATGAAATTTTAAACTAGAATAATTGGAAAAACAAATGGCTGGACAACAAAAACAACCAACCCAATAGCTTTCCAAAGGATCTTGTGTCAGGCCTGCTATAAAAATGTACTATGGTATGCTTTAATCATTAGATCACCCCTAGAGTTCTATTTTTAGTGCCATTGACTTGAGATCTTCAAAACGCATTCAGTGAATATCATCTTACAGAAATGGACTTCTATAAGATTAAGGTTTTTGTTTTAAAACATGATTTTAGTCTCTGAGCAAACTGACATAGTTTTTAAAAAGATAAAATACTCCAAAAGCTGTATAGTGCGGGTGTGCATCTTGAATTGTTGCACCACCTGTCTGCAACGCTGACCCATTATCCTTGTCAAATGTTTTACAACTATCCACTCAGATGTTCTTAGAGCAGCTGGGCCACAATGACCCTGATTCATGCTTCTCCTTTTGTTTTTGGTCATTCACCATGATTTGACTTTCTTTTTTTAGATTAATTATCTTACAAAAAATTGCAAAACAGGCCTATAGCATGATGTGGTTTTTTTTATTTTATTTCCTTTTTAGCATTCAACTATAACAAGTCAATCAATCAATCACACAAAATTAACAATATAATTGTAACTATATGTCATATAGAACCATCCTGAGAAGAAAACGATGAGAAACCTCTCCTTAGTAAATTCTAGAAAGAAAACCCTAGGAGAAGTCAACATAAGTCAGAGTTGACTAAAAAGCACATAACAATATCTGCTTTCAAATCAGCTATAATTTATTTATTTATTTATTGTATTTATATACCGCCCCTCTCAGCCCTCAGGCAACTCGAGGCGGTTTATTCATCTATACATACTAATCCATCTTTTCATACATCAGCATGTAATGTCTATTATTAACTACCCTATTTCTACAGTCTATTAATTTCTTCTGCTATGCCAAAAAATCCAATTGATTAATTTAAGGTCTATCTTCAACATTTTATGCTCGAAAACTCATCAAAATGGGTACTAGCATACTAAAAAATTGTCATTCTTTTATTTCTACTTTTATACAAAAAGGACCAATTAATTTTTCTGCATCTACAACTGCCCACATTCTGCCAAAATATCTATGAAATGAAAATCCTTGGGCATTTTCTCAAACCAGAACTGTACTGCATCTGACAATAAAGGTACAGTAGGCAGTACCTGAAGCTAAGTAAGAGTTTCTCGTCTACCATGGTCCTAATAAATAATTGTTCCATCCCAATATTGGATCTGGTGTCCATTGGTACAAAAAGGAGCTTGGATTCATGGTCTTATACCAAATGGGAAGAGAATGTATTCAGGAAACAGATTTGGTAAACCTCCTCCCTACTTCTCATTCTTCTCTGTGTGGATGAGAAAGCAAGTATTTAACAGGAAAAATTAGCATATTGATTGTTTACAGGAAATGAACATCAAGTTTAGTTTGACCCACAGTTTACATGTTTCCACACCCAACCACTTGATTCTTTTCTGCACCCATCCCCATGTCTGTTTAGATTTTTAAAAATTGTGCTATGTCAGTTGTTATGTACATATAAAGAGATAAGGGCACAAGGCAGTTTAAAGGGGTGAAAGCTCTTCACTTGGAACTTAGGCAGATCTGAACCCTGTTCGTGGTTAATTGGCAGTTGGCTTGATGGAACTTAACTTTTTGATCTCGCACCATTTTCCCAAATAGAACTTAGAAACTCCCATTCTGACTGGAGGAATTCTGGAAAATGTAGCCCTTTTTATTTTTATTTTAGGGGAAACAGCAGTACCATGCGTACCTTGCATAAAGCGGAATCAGCTCTCAGGGCAATTCATCTAGTCCCACTCTAAAAATCCCTTGCATTTTTCAGATGCCTACTTGATTAGTGTATTCTTGGGGCACAAGAAAAGACATCTGCTGACCATTAAGACTCATTGGCCTAAAAATAGATATATGCTAGGCAAAATTTATCCAGCCATTTTCTTCAAAAACCTCCAATGTAGGCAGGGTGCAAAATTCATTTGTTTATGTATGAAGAACAATCTCTCACCAACTTTGTCTTTTAACAGTTGAAATAATTTGGTCAGACAGAGAAGCAATGGATATAATGTGACTGTGATATAAACAAAGGATTTGATACCATTCCACATATTATCCCTGGCAGATACAGATGGAACCCACAGTCCACTGTTGAATGTACTGAAGCCCTTTCTCGAGGCCAAACAGCCTTGTGCTGCCATCTGGCAACCTGCCAGGGATCCGATGGCCATTCCATTCTGATTCCAGGAGTAAGAGGAGGATGTTGCTGCAACCCAGCTGCTCATTCTTTATTTACTGCTATAGCAGTCTTTGATAGCCCTCTTAGGTGCTTAGGATAGGCTTTTTTGGTTTTCTGACATGATCCTAGACAAAAAATACACGTGATGCATAGTTCTGCATCAACTCTCTGCAAGTATTTTTGGACCCTCATCCTTTTAATATGGTAACTATGAAAGAAGCAGCCTCCCTCTTGCTTGCTTATTGAAGAGTACAATCATGTTTAAGTTAAAGTAACCCAAAGGCATTGCCCTATTTTCCCCAATAGGAGTTGGAATCATGTGGCCCACCCCATGAAGCCTGTAATTCTCAGCATTGCAGGCTGGTGTAGGGAGTCTACTTACTACTTACCGGGATTGTGGCGTAGCTGGCTGAGTGTCAGCTGCATTAAGCTGCAAAAGGTCATGAGTTTGAAGCCAGCCCGGGTTGGAGTGGGAAAAATAGGTACCACCTTAAAGTGTGGGGAGGCTAAATTAACTAATTTATGAGGCGATTAAAAAAAAAAAGACTCCAGCAAGCACTCCAGCAAAAAGCATGCGGGGAATGCGGAAGTACTTCATCAGTGTCGCAGATGGACGATGAAAGCGACAGCTCCCCTGGCAGCCAGAAAAAGTGAAATAGCCTCTGTCTATGTCTGTATATGTTGTATGTCAAAATTGGCATTGAATGTTTGCCATATATGTGTACACTGTAATCTGCCCTGAGTCCCCTGTGGGGTGAGAAGGGCGGAATATAAAAGCTGTAAATAAATAAATAAAATACTACATCCATTAGTGGTGGCCTTTCAGTCATTAAGATTTAGTTCCTTATATTATTATTTAAAAAATAAATAAAAGATTTTTGTTCTTGTGAATACCTGTTGCACTAGTGCCCCAAAACACCTTTTCACCACAAACCACCCTCTGTCCAGGTAAATTCAGTAAGTAAACATTTCTTAAACGATGAATATATTAAAATAAGCAAATTTAAAAGGAGAAGCAAAGTTCAACCCGTTATTTCCAAGATAGCCAAGATTCCAAAATCCTTTCAAATATAGTCTCAAGAGTCAATCCACAGATATATCCATAAACATGCTAGCATGAATCCAAGGCAGGCAACCTATGCCACACATGAAACTAGAACCAGGAACAAACTTAGAAACTTGAATACCCAAATGTAGGACCAGGAATCGAGAGCTGTTCGCCTGAATACAATGTTGCTCTCACAAAGGATTGTACCAGCAGAAAACTACTTAAAAGGCCTCAAAGCCTTCCATGACATCATTCCTCACACACCTGCTTTCCCTCTCCTTATTTCTAAGTTGCCGGGAAAAGAGAGTCTGTCTCTGTTGTACGCTCTGCCTCCAAAGTTCCAAGCGCCTTGATCTGGACAAACATTCATCTCCCACATTTCTCTCTACCTGCACTTCTGGCAGATTCTGATGAGAACTGATATCACTTTCTCCAGTCTCATGGGAACTGACCATGAGATTCCAAACCAATTCTCTCCAGACACTCCTATCCTCCTTTGGGCCCTCCAAATCTATCCCAGCATTCCCTTCCTCATCTTCTGAGCACTCAGAATTTGACCAGGCTACTAGACCATTATCATAATAAAACACAGCGTGGAATATAGAAACATTACAAAATAGATGATGAAACAAATATAAATGTGAATTTATTTTATTTATATGCTGCCTTTCTTCAAATATGAAAGCCAAAGCAGTTTATACTGTAAGTTTTTTAAAAGCTAAATGTATTTGTGGTACAATAATTTAAAAAGCTTCAAACAGTCAATTAAATTAATTTAAACAATTACAAATTAAAAGCCAACTACACATTGAAAACAAACTTGCATACCTATTGCACATCATTTTATTCTTCTTATTTATTTTTGATTGATTTACAACATTTCTACCCCCCCCCCCCTTTCTCAACCCCCAAGGGAGAACTCAGAGCAGCTAACACTGGGAACAATTTGATGCTGCAAATATCACAATATAAGAACAATATAAAACCATAAATACTCAATAGATTAAAACAATAACAGTAGTTATAAAATCATATAGCTGTTTCCATTATTATAACAATCAATGTCCAAAGTGCCGTTATGCCTGCTAGCCAAAGGCCTGGTTCCAAAACCATGATTTCAGTTCTTTCCTAAAGGAAAGGAGGGAGGACGCCGATCTAATCTCGCTGGGGAGTGAGTTCCACAAGCCGGGGGGGGGGGGTCACCACCGAGAAGGCCCTGTCCCTCATCCACACCAGACGCGTTTGCGAGGCTGGTGGGACTGAGAGCAGGGCCTCCCCAGTGAATCTTAAACTACGAGGCGGAACGTAGACAGAGCTACGTTCAGACAAGTAAGCTGGGCCAGAGCCATATAGGGCTTTATAGGCCAAGACCAGAACTTTGAATTGTCCTTGGAAATGAACTTAGTTCTTGTTTAAATAAGAATGTTGTTGCCTTCAAGAGGGAAAGAAAATAAAAAGAGGGTCTCCCCTGGGAATATGGATTAAAAGAATATTTTTTAAATAGTTGAGAAACACATTTTCGTGTGTTTAGAAACTCTGACAAGATATCTGAGCTGATGGAAATCTTCACAGTTCAGGACTTATTCAGTGCAAGATTAACATGTTGTTTTGTGCAGAAAACAGCATTTTATGTGCAAAAATGCTGTAATTCACTATTTATGCTGAATAAAATTTGCATATGCTTTAGTTGCATTGAAAATAACATTTTCTGTGTATGAAAGAATACTTCTGTTAAACTATGCTGTTTTCTATGCAATAATGTTGTTTTCTATGCAAAAATGTTATTTTCTATACAAAATAACTATGTGCAGATTTTGTACAAAATCAGTCCTAAATTGCAAATAGTCATCAAAAATTGTGTGGTTTTTGAATCCTTACAGCAGGAAGCAAATAACTGAAATTATTCATTGTTACCTTCCATAAGAAACTTAGTGAAGAGTTGGATCCCTACTTGGGATAGAGTTTAACAGTCTGGAAACAGTTGCTAAGTAGACTAGGTCCTCACTAGATGAAACTTTGAGAGTGGTAGGATGGAAAGAAAGATTCCCCTGAAGATTGTAAGACCTGACCAAGCTCATAATGGGTAATATGGGCTTTCAGACAATCTGAACCTAAGGCATATAGAGTTTTATAGGTGATACCAGTAATCAGCACTTTGAATTGTGCCCATAAATAAGTGGGATATAAATATATACATTTACTTGGTATTTTACACCAGCTAATTGCATAGAGCAACTTCTAAAAAGGTTTAAACTTTACTTTTTTTCCATTTTAGATGATACACCCCCTGAGAATGCCTTTCCTTTGGCTTTTCCTGATTTAGAACAGCAGCTTCAGGTGACTCTGGTTTTGTTTAATACTTATGTCCATTGCATAATCATATTTCTTTATAGACATCAGTACTGTATGTGCACTGTTGTGGGCATAACTGATTATTGTATAACAATCTACTTGCATGATATTTATATGGAGCAGTGGTTTTGGATAATGGTTGTTGTTATTCGTTCAGTCATTTCCGACTCTTCGTGACCTCATGGATCAGTCCACGCCAGAGCTCCCTGTTGGCTGTCACCATCCCCAGCTCCTTCAAGGTCAATCCAGTCACTTCAAGGATGTGTTCCATCCATCTTGCCCTTGGTCGGTCCCTCTTCCTTTTTCCTTCCTTTTTCCTCAGCATAATTGTCATCTCTAAGCTTTCCTTTCTTCTCATGATGTGGCCAAAGTGCTTCATCTTGGTCTCTACTATCCTTCCCTCCAATGAGCAGTCGGGCTTTATTTCCTGAAGTATGGACTGGTTGGATTTTGGACAATACCTAACACATTTTATGGCTTGAAAAAGAGCATGATAAGACATGCTCTTTTTCAAGACAACAAAACCCTTTCTGTTGTAGAAGTCATCTGAGTTTAATTCAAAGGTTTGCAATTTGAGTGTATGTTCATCTTTTCATACTTTGAAGTGATGCTTTTCTTCCTGAGACCATGAGGGTTCTTCAGAGGTCCCAGTGGTTCAGTATTGTCAGATGGAGAAGAATTGCTATAGGGGAGTGTTTGGAGATGCAATCTTATATCCAAGGAAGAGAAGCCTGAAAGGGAGAAGGAGGTTTATCCCTCCTTCTCTTAGCTCTTCGTATCTCTTAGCTCATTCTTGTGAAGTATTCAGAGGGTTATGTGACATCAGAGTAACAGCTGATGAAAGATAAGTCATTAGAAAGGTTTGGTGTTCTTGAGATATTCAGATGACAGAGGAAGAAAGAGGAAATGATGGGGGGAGGAGTTATGAAAAAAGAACTATAGCTAGCCAGGACATGCATAAGAAACATTGCAGCTGAAACCAAATCTCAAGTGGTTATCACTGGGAACTTAAGCATAATTTATTTAACTGGCTGTAGGATCTATGATAACCAAGCAGAGCTTTGTGTGCATAGGAAACTATCTCAAGTCCTGTGTGTACACATGCCTGTACATGTGTGGTACATATATATATACACAGGAACACCATGCTGCATCTAATGTCATTCCTTTCCTCTATTGTCTTCTGTCTAGTAACAGTAATAATAACACTTAATAATTGTATATTGTTTTTTCTCAAAGTTCTTCATAACTGAACTGTGGAATGGCTTAGATGATGTTTTTGGACAACGAGATGGACATTGAAGGCATTGGTTTTATATGTTTTAAATGGTTATATTGTATGATTGTAGAAATTTGTTTTAAATGTTTTAAATTATATACTACATATTGTTACGACATCGAAAGGCTGCCGGGTTGTAAGCTGCCTTGAGTCACTTTTGGATTCAAGGAAGGTGGGATAGAAATAGCACAAATAAATAAATAATGTATTAGGTAGTTATAATCCTTTCAACAACGGAACATAATGTTTTTATCATCCATATTCCAGATAAGATGCCATTTTCAAAACCCTTTGAGACAGAGACCTACACGCTTATAGCATCAATATATATAGCTGGTAGTATCATAATCAGAGCTTGAAAAAAATATTTTTCAGCCTGCAGCTCTAGCAACTTGCATGACTGAGGCTGGTCAGTGTTATAGTCCAAAAGTAATTTTCAAGCTGTATTTATACCAGCTATTGGCATTTTCCCACATAATTAGTTGAACATTATTTAAAGTAAGCAAAATGCCCTGTAACTATGTTCGTGAGATTTAAGATTCAGAAATGCTTCAATTTTCTATTCTAAATAGATCTTTTTTCAGATTAACATAATATAAAATACTGGAGTTGGAAAATGGATGGTCTCATGAATCCATAGTGGATCTTTACCTCTGCTGTAAAGGAGCTGGTGATAGCAAACACAGCACCTTGGATAGCAATTTATAGTTCGGACAAAAGCCCATCAAATATTCTCTATGCCAATGACATGGAAGCTGTCAGTGTCACAAATGTTGAATGTTTATCATATCCTAAGTAAGGAATTGTTGGATACACTTCTTTTAGACTTTATGCAGTTCTTGCTGCAACTCATAAAGTCATAATGTTATTGCTGCACTACCACTAGGCAATCCTAAAGGATTAGGGAAACTGAAAAAACAAGAAAATTGTCAGGAGACAAGCTGAACTGACTAAACAATATTTGCCTTGAACATTCTAGTCTTTTGTTTTATATAGTGGAGCAGACAATGGCTGTGAGATCCTTCCCTACAAATAACCAAATGTGGAAAATGCATTCTTTCTCTCTCTAGCTGGATGATGTCATTTCTGAGTGTGGTTTCTTATTTCAGCAAGGCACTTGAGAATGCACTTCGAGCCATCATATTCTGCAAAGTGCGTTTCCTTAGTGGGACTTGTTCTTATGGGTATTTATGAATCTCAAATTTAAAATATTTTTAACAAGTTGATCTTTTTGCCTTAACGGGCTCTGAAAGCAGCTGTAAGTGGAGGCTCAAGTAGTTGGCTAGGAAAGGTAGAACCTAGTTGACTTTGTTGGAGTACATAATTTGGGCTCCAGTATGCCAGATGCTGATATTAGATCTATATTTATCTAGCCATTGGGATTATGGCTGTTGATGTTAATGTGTACAATCTATGTAGTGTTTCAGAAATTGACTTGGTTACAGGCACCATGTTAGTAACTGTCATGCCATTCCTTGTTCCCAGAAAAAGGTTCTTTACTAAACTTCTATCAATATAGAAATCCAGTTTTTCAACTTTTGTGCACATCGTGTGAAAGACAAGAAATAGAGGTATGACAGGAATGCCTTCCATCTGGGACAGGAGTGGCCAAGCAAAATTGGAGTGAAGCTGAGATGGCAAAAGTTATTAATGAGGAAAAAGCTGGGCAAGGTTGCAGCAGTTTTATTTTGCCTGAATCTGCTGATTTCTACTGTCCTCTTCCACCAATTGAGTTAACTGAATGCAAATTACAGTTGGCCCTTCACACTTGTGGGCTTGACTTTTGCTGACTTGCTTATTTACAAATGTGATTAAAATATTCCCTTTAGGATTCTTTAGGTCCTCCAGTTTGACTCTAAGACCCAACTTCCCTTCAAAGTTGACCATAGGGTCACACTGGAAGACTCAAAGAGTCATAGAGAAGTATTCTCTCAGATAAACATATAGCAGTTTTTTATTTGTGGAATTTCCACTTTCATGAAAGTGTTCTTCACCTAACCCCAGCAAATGTGAAGGGCTGACTACCTAATTTGAAACAACTAAAATAAGATGAGAATGTGGAAAGTGGGAGAAAGGGTTTTTTAATTTTAATTGTATTTTTTGCTTTTAATGGACTGATGGAGAGATGGAGGCGGGGTACAAAAATAAAGTTGTTGCTGTTGCTGTTGTTGTTCTTCTTATTATTATTTTAAAAGGAGATAAACTGTATGTTTTAAAACAGCTGAAAAAGTGAGGCAACAGGGTTGAGACTGTCCTCAGTTGGAGGCCGTGTTCATCTAGATCAAACTGCCCCCCCCCCCCCAGCTGTTTGGGCCTCCAACTCCTAGAAGCCCTAAGAAGCTTGTTCAGTTTTCAGGAATTCTGAGAGTTGACGGCCCAAACAGCTGGAGGGCCGCAGTTTGAGGATGCCTGATCTAGGTGCAAATAGTAGGGATGCTTTCACCCTAGGCAATTAAAGTACTATGGTTCCATTTGAAAAGCCATGGTGGCAGCATTCTATGGAAGTGTTGGATTTCTCATATAATGGTGGCACTACATCTGTAAATGATACCAATTCTGACAAACAATAATTACAGATATTTTGTGGTTTTCAATCATAGTTAACAAGAGTGCCAACAAATTGGATTTCTAGAGTGAAAGTTGGATTTGACCCAATAAAAAATAGACTGTTTTCCAATTTGATTTGCACAGCTTACTAGTTAAGACAGCCATTTGCCACGACTGAGTGGTTCAATATATGTTTAATTTGAGGGACATGTGTTTGAAAGCGTACAGTCTTGTTCATAGGTAACTGTGGGTTGGTACTGCTGCATTTGCTTCTGAGTAAGCAGGGTTGCATGGTGGATGTCTTCTGAGCATGCATTTGTCACAGTTGGGGAGCTGATCTCAAAAGAGTGTTGACACAATTTCTGACTCCATCTCAGGTTTTAGCATGAGAGGATACATTTACATTGCAGTTTGACATCACTTTAATTGCCATGGTCTAATGCTATTGATTTATGGGAGCTGTAGTTTTGCAAGATCTTTACTCTGTTAAATAGTAGTGGTGCCTCACCCAACTGCATTCCTGTGATTCAATGCATTTAGCCATAGCAGTTAAAGTAGTGTCAAACTGCATTAATTCTACAGTGTAGATGCACCCAAAACCAGACTGACAACTCTCAAGACTGAAATGGAATATTGATAGAGGTCAGTATATGCATGTGGTTGACTAAAAATGACATTAGGAAAATGAAAGGCATGGAAAGAAGGAAATGACAGATTTCTTAGACAGATGGCCCGCCTTTCTCTTTTTAGGAAGCCGGGAAGGGGCAGTGGAGGGTATGACAAGGGCATCTTAAGCCAGGAATAAAAAGTTTTCTAGTTTTGGAAAGGGGAGTTATGGAGCGGATAACAATAGAAACATTCATAAAAGTCTAAACATATTCTAAGGCAAACTGAGTACTGAGCTCAAATCAGAAGAATGCATTTGATTTCCCTTTAAAATAGCCAAGAGAAAATAGTACCTCATTAAACATGGAGTACAAATAAGATGCCCTGGTTAAAGGTAACACCAAGCAACTTACCTGACCTGCCTTTGTTCTCACTCTCTCTGCTCTGCTAAAGACTGTTATGAATCCCATTTTGAAAATCTTATTCCACCTTACATATTTCTGTGCTACAACCTGTCCTCAGAGCGTATTTTGATTCTCGTTCTTAACTCAGA